AGTGTGTCTGTGTCTGTAGAAGTGTGTCTTTGTGTTTGTGTGTGTGTGTGTGTTTGGGTTTGTGTGTGTATGTGTGTGTCTGTGTTTATATTAACTTCAGCTCTTTTGCAATATATTTGGAAGCTACACATAACATCAAGGCTAGGAAGTGTAAATTGAACGGAATATACAAAATATCAAATTAAAATACTCCTGTATATCTTCTATTATCTTGAACAAATATGTACGTTCGCTGAATATTACTAGATCTACTTGCGCCAACTATTACACTAGTACCACACGCACTTCATACGAAAGGTGAAGTTTAGAATATGAATACTCATGATATTTTTTACAAGGTCTTTATTCGATAGCCAATGTTTAAAACTAATCATTACACTAGTATCACCCTCTTCATTCGACCTGGTTGAACGGTAAGTTTACAATATGAATACTCTTAATATTTTTTAATAGGACTTTATTCGATAGCTAATGTTTCAAACTAATGTTTGGTCTCTAACCGCTATTAATTTCATCGCGAAATTATGCCCAAACAAATGGTTGGTCTTTCATTCACGTACTAATTTCATCGCGAGACTTGCGCTCTGCTGATGAACTCCGACGCGAGGCAACGGATGAACATCATTGCCATGCACACTTCACTCGGCCATATTCCGATAATCATTAGTGTGCTACTACTTTCATTACAGCTCGGCAAAGCCATCTTGCAGCAATCCACGCTGGCATCGAGATTTTTTGGTATCCAGTGGGAGACCAGTAGAGGCCGATTATTCAACCCCATCTTGATCATACAGCTGCTTCCATATCTATAAAGGCTATCGGTACAGTAGGCAGGAGTTTCGAGCCTCGCCTGAAGTTGTCCAGTGGGCGGTTGCGTATTGAAAGAATATTCCGTCACTCAAAATTTCCACAAACTTGATATTTGATCAGGCAGCAACTTGGAACAACTTACGCTCTGAATGATGAAGCTAGGTATATTGAACTCTCAGCATCAGTCTTGGCAGTTCGGCCAGTGTGGTTGGCCAGCAGCGATCGCGATGTTCCGGATGATTCTCTAGCAGCGGCGAACCCTCGCTCAAGGAAAGCTGAGTTGGTGATGGCGTCCTGTCCTGCGGATCTCTTCATTGTGGTGCTAGCAGCACGGGCGGCACTGCGCATAACGTTGGCGGCTGGAGCAGACATTTTGATATTAGATTTGTATTTGTATGAGTGAATTGATCTGTAGGTCACAACGTGCAGCCATTATATACCTTTTTTGAAGTATAGCAATCGTTCGACTCCCTCTAGTAGTTTTTTTAACTTTTAAATGCTGTAGTAGCAATACATACTGCAATCAGGAACAAACGGAATATCACGAACGATGCACACTTTTATTGCGAGATATTTTAATTGTAAACCCATCCGTTAGAGTACTGAGAGTAGGCTATGGCTAAATTGCCGTGATATTGACAAGCTGTCGCGATCACTTTGCTGGCTTCCAAAAATAGTTTTAAATACCACTGCTGTAGTACGAATATCGCCTAGGGTCGCCCACATAAAATTTATACTGACACTTCCGAACTCTGATGAAGTTCTGCAGACTGAACTTCTGAACTTCTGAAGTGTGTAGTGTAGACTGTAAATAGACCGTTGGCGTGACAATCGAGTATTGCTGTGACCTTGACTGATTTGTTCTGATTTTTTTTTTCAAAATTTCGAATACACAAGCCCGGCAACTGGGTCAAGACGTCATTCTGTAAAATTTTATTTTATTTACCACTCCCCAAGCCCCAATGATGACAGTGAACCAGTCACTACTCGTCATGGAGACACGGACCCACCCCTTCTGGACCTAGGGTCAGACCAGCTCTATAACTTATAAGACAGTAGAGTCCACGACTCTAACAGACTAAATACATAAATATAACGATGTGGAGCGTTTTTCAAAATACCAGAGAAATTTATTTAGGGCGCCCCAACTCCCGAGTTGGTAACCGAGATTCGCAAATACAGACGAATACAAACGATACGATTGGTTCGATTTGGTGAAAGTCGCGTGGGTCTATTTTATGGAGTAAATATACTGCGATGATGCTTAGTTTATTTTACCTCTAGGCGAATGTGTAGAAAATTTGATTGGCTTATTTAAAAGTTGGAAGATCGCATATTCGCGAGATATTAGGAATGGAGGTTCGGAACTTTACAGTGTCAAGTCTACCCTTAGCCCGCCGGGCCATAGGCCATAGGCCATAAGGCTCACTCACAGACTCTCACTGCCTCAAGTCCTCAACCTCTCAAGTCTCATCAGGAGTCATCAGGACTAAGGACTGGCTTTCAAGTCTCAACTCACTCTCAGACTCTCAGTCTCAAGAACCAAATGAAATGACAATTCTGAGCTCACTGAGGTCGAAAGGGCGAGGGGGTCACAAGTTGCACAACTCACTACACAAATCAGTGAGCAGTGAAGCCAGTAAAGCTACATAGCGGGTATGAGGCTCTATGAGCCTGTGTCCTGTGAGTCACCAGTGAGTGTAAGGTGACTTTTAAAGCCAGTGAGTGAGTTAACTCCAGTTACCCTCGCTCACTCTCGCAGTCTCCACTCTTCAACATCCCTTCCCCAAATTACTAATAAATTAGCCCTCAGTCTCCCAACATTTATTTGCTGTTGTCCGACTGTCCGTTGTTGTCGTTGATTGTGTATTTACGATAAAAATTATACAAAATTATCTCCTTTGATTTGTTGTTTATTTACAGGAAGCGTGGTGATAAATCAGGAAAGTGCAAATCTTCATTGATTCACGGTAGTCGACTGCTCACCACAATATCGAAGCTCTAGGTCGATCTCCAGCCCACAAGCGACAGGCATTGTTTTCCAAAGCATTGTGTTCGATACCAAAAACCAGTACAGACTACAATGGAATGCGTACAATGTATATTTTTATTGTTGTTCGCCTTCCAATGAATACGGTAAATAATGCAAATTCTCGTCTGTGATTTGTTGAACATTTCCGGTGATATCTCAGGAAAGCACAAACCTCCATTGATACACAGTAGTCGACTATTTCCATTTTTGAAACTATGTAGATATTTCTCTCTCCAGAGGCGTAGTTCTCCAGTGTTCTGTTCAATATCAGATAACCAGTACAGTGACATGCGTGTAATGTGTTTTATTATCTCTTTCGCCTGGTTCACCTATCTGTAAACTTAATTTATAGAGGAGAAATTTGTATTCATCTGAAGTCCTTTCCGGAATCAGTACTTTCCGATCCCGAAGATGCGGATTCCATGCATGATGGGTGTTTTTGCAATGAGTATTATACTTGACTGCACCACATTGAACCACCATAATCGACCGTGGCAATAATGATTTGCCAGCATAAGCCTGTGTCGTAAGCAATGAAGGCACAATAGTATCCGATTAGCTACTATGGTTATTCATGGTATATTGAGGTGCACGAGTGGTGTTGTAGTAGCGGATATGTTTAGAGTAGAGACGAGCTGGAAGAAAGCATGTAAAGCACAATTTCGCACAAACTAGCAAAAGTAAACTGCACAGATTTGGCACATTTAAACGAAGTGTAATAGTGCAATTCCAAAATTAAGTATTGGTCAGTGTATATGAATGCGAAAGTCTACAGGTGATTAGAGATGTGCACTTGATATCATTCATGAATAAAACATATATTCTATGTCTATGCCTAGCCATATATATATTTATATATATATATATATATATATATATATATATATATATATAGTATATGTAGTATAGTATGTACGTATATATTATTATATATATATATATATAGTA